GTACACTCATGAGGGCTAGTCCTACTAACCTTTCTTGTCCGGTTCTGTTTCTTAAAAACGTTTTTAGGCRTTTAAAAGTTGAAAAATTCCTTTCAGGTGATGATGTTGATACGGGCAAAGTTCCCAACACATTTAATAAATAATAAATTGACGGAAAAAATCTAGATTGCACTGGGACAACGCGTTAAAATCATTTGATGGTCTATYTTTCTCCAAAATCTTGGTCCATTTTGTCTGCCATAACGAAAATTCTGCTCCAATAGTTAGTGAGTTTRAATTATCAATATAAAAATCAACWCAAGGTTTAATATCTTCATATTTTTTGTTGACACAAAATTTAGGGATAAYGTTTTGCAGGCTTGTTATTAATTCTTTCTTGTCATTAAATCGTTCATTTAGTTGTTCAWCAACTGTTGTTGTATAAAGTCATCTAATAGAGGTATATAAATTGAAATTCGAAARTATTCTTCGGGATCATTGGTTTTAATGTTGATACGTTTAGTTTGACGAGAATTAATTCTTGGTATAGCTATTTCATTATTAACTGATTCTAACTTATTTTTAGATTCATTAAATAAAATTGAAAATTCTTCATTGGCGTTTTCTCGCTTTTTCATTAAAATTTCGGATATATTTTCAATATGTTCACATGCTTCGTAAAGATCGCAGTTAACTTTTTGTAAAACTTTGCAAAGAGGCAAAGTCAGAGAAAATAATTCACCTGCTACTTTTAAACTAATAACAAACTCGCTTTTAATGATAGCATTAAGTAATTGTGAGGATTTAGACGAAGTGTCACTATTATGATGATTTTCCAACTCCCTAAGAAAGTACATTAAGATTAGTTATCGCTTATCTAACACAATATAAATATAAAATATACCATTTTATTTATTTATGTGTTTTAATAACAGTGACACGTATATGATGTAAAGTTTCAAATATAATAGGCATTAAAAAAAAACTATTCAAACTATTTAATATTATTTCAAAAAAAATTTCTGTACCCCAACCCCCGCCCCCCTGGCTACGGCCTTGACCACTATATATTTCTCAAACATTTTATTGAGTTGGTATGGTAAAATATAATGAGGGTGTTTGTGTGCCTTGTGAACATATTGTTCAAAGTTGTTATTGTCATACTTTTTCTTTTTTATCAATAATAAATGTTATAATACATAAATATTTAAATAAATAATAACGTTGAATAAAAAATAAATTTATTTCTCTTAAACGAATATACTGTTATTATTATATATATATATATATATAAAAAAAAAAACAATAGCTTAAATTGAATGGTATCTATTTATTGAAGTGTGTTTAATTTTGCTTGGATTTCGTTCTTTGAAATGGCGTATCGTAACAATTATACACAATCCTCAATATAAATTGATGTTGTTTGTGTATCAAAAACCTTTTTTTAAATTAAGAAATAGAARAAAAAACATTAATCTAAATATATTAATTTACTTCTTTTTTATAGAGTTCTATTCTACTAAAATCAGTACGACGAATATACTAAAATATTATTAAAACGTGTTTAGCATATACGTTAAACATGACTATTGACCATTGAATAATATAATTAATACATTATATAAAGATTATCGATTACGATTTTAATATCGTTTAAGACACTAAATAATTACCAACAGACAAATGTGTTTCATGAAAATTAATCAAGTGTTTGCTTCAGATTCTGATTGCCACCACAGTTATTATATAAGTTGCTTTTCACTTATAAAAACCCGTTCTACTGTAATCGTAATTCTGAAAATAAAATATTCCCAGTGATTTACCCTGGATTTTTTATTGCTGATTAGCCGGTAGACAGAAAATAATAATAAATGTTTTATCTCGGTGGATTTAATTACGATTTAACTTAAGGTACATAAGTCTTTACCCGACAACGATAAGATAAGGACTCATCAATGAAAACCACTCCGTTCAAGTCCCTTCACCACACAGAAATCGACACAACTCTATTATAATTATTATCGTTGATAAAAAAAAAAAAAAATTATAATAAAAGCATTTTCACATTAAAATCATCACTTTACCTATACATGATATATCTACGACGAGTAAAATATTATAGGAAACTCTAATAATCACACATGTTTTGGAACCATCTTGAATTAATTATTATTCACGTTGTAATAATTGTCACGAACTAAATATTTGTGTGTGTGTAATGTGTATATTATATTGTATTTGAATTTTAAATCTTATATTAAGTATATATTATATCCATCTGATGGATAATAGGACTCCATTATGATGTGGTCTTATCAAAGTATATTACATTGTGTGTAATACGATCTGTTATTGTTTGTATTTTAGCAAGATGATGTTAAAGAAAATGTTACATCCAGTGAGATGACATTCGTGCCCACGACAGACGACAATGGAAAATCGATAACCTGTAGAGCGGAAAATCCTCAAGTACCTAAAATGGCGCTTGAAGACAATTTCATACTGAAAGTCGTCTGTGAGTCATACTATATATTTTTATAATTGTATTTACTAGGCCGTTTAATATCATAATATTATAAGTTAATTTATTATTAATATATGAAGTGTAAATATACAAATTCCATAAACTATTAATATCATAATATATAATTTACTTGGAATAACAATATTAATATATATTATATTATATACATATTTGCGATGACAAGGTGATATTAAGTCTCAACGCGTCTATTCCAATCTTAAATTAGTAAATAATTTAATAGWGATACATGTCACGGTGTTATGGTAAATTAATTATTATTATCAAACCATATCAGTTTAGAGAACCATTGTAGCACTCTCCGATATTCCAAACTGTCAGCTATGAGTCAAAATTAATTACAAATTTCAATCAATTAGTTATTCATATAATTATATTATGCGTTTATGGTGATGATTGATAATGTATTTTTGGAATGTGACATCGTGTTTTCGTTCTAGCTGATGGACAAACAATGTTTGCTATGAAATAAGACGTGATATTTTGTACATTTTAAAAATATTTTGGTACTAAAATAATTATTTAATTCGAAGGGAATGAATATTTCAGTAACCTAAAATATGTTATTTACGTTATTATACCATTTTGAAATTGTTACAGTTTTTGTTTTCTTTAAATTCTAAATTTAAAAACATGCAGGTTTTAAAATATTTAACATGTTTAACATGGTTTTTAAAAAATTCTTTCAGTAATTATATAAAGCAATAATCACATATATATTACTGCTTTAATTAAAATTGTATAATAAGCGTTATACATATTCAATAAAATACATAAATTTAATATAATATCTCCTTTAAAATTACCTGATGGTAAAATATATCAAAGAAAAAAAACTGGAAAGTGGATATCGCTCTGCTATACAGTAGGCTACAAGTAGGTTACTGTAATGGATGGAATTAAATATGAATCTAATGATATTACATTATTGTATACGAAAAACGATTCTAAGCGAAAACGGTTTATCTGTCTAGTCTAGGATATAATATTATAGATTATTATTACTTATTATTAATACTTATTAAAATATTTGACTTTCCAGTGGACATTTTTTATTT